GATTTCGTGGCAGGTGCAACACTTTGTAGACCTTGAAGTGCAGATTTCGTGGCAGGCGCAGTATTTGTGGACTTTCCCAGCTTGCGAATCCCCATCCACCGCCATCACCACATCACCACCCACCACCATCACCACCAGTCACCACCATCGCGACCATCACCACCACCATCACCACGATCTCCACCTTCATCACCACCATCACGTCTCTGGACCCCAACGCGTCTAAATCTCTAGACTTTACACCTCTGTTTGGGGTTAAAGTTTTGTCTACGGCAATAAAGGGTTCCTATGATCCCCTCACTTGGTGCAACCGAAAGCTATACATCCTTGAACGTTATGGGCTTATCCTGGAAGTGAGATAAACCCACATAGCCAAACATGCAAGCGCTGGAACCCAAACACACGTGGAATTGTTTGCGTCCTAAGTTGGGAACAGCTAGCCTCTGAATTGTCAGATGTTGTGAAAACTGCAGTCATGAAGTGCTTTCCATGTCAATGCTGGTGTTACCCATGATGCAATTTTCGTGATGCAATTTTGCGGAGGCAGTTGAAACCAACCAGTTTTTCCTTTGGTTGTTTTCTCTTGTTGGCTCTTGTGTGAAGTTGTTGCGATTTAGAAGCGGTTTTGACAGGGGGCTCTCCGGATTTTTTCGATACAGTTATGTATGGCCGAGGAGACAACTAAAAGCATTTGAAGGTGGCATGGGAACCGCCAACATGTGCATGTTGTTCTCCAAGGTTCTTACGGTGGTGGTAAGGCAGGGTTCGTGGCCATGTTGTTGAGGCGCCGTGTGCATTTTCGAGTTTAGTGCTCACTTGTTGTGGCACGGGCAAGGAACCCTCGTATTTTGGTGGTCTCAAGTTGACTGGTTGTGCAGATTTGGTGGACGCAGTGTGGACCTGGCGGTGGTCTTTGGCGTGCTCAGATTGCGTCGCAGGTGCGGTGAATCCTGAATTTGGACTTCCAGCCATCCTTGGATTTTATCGTTTTGTTATTGTAATATATATATATATATATCTTGGACATTTTCTTTGGAGGTGCTTTGGTTGCGACATGCGCTGATTTCATAGCAGCACTTTGTGAGACCTGAAATGCAGCTTTCGTGAACGGGGCAGCTCTTTGAAGTTCTCGCACGCGTGTGTTCTCGTATTGTGCTCTCGTATTGTGCTCTCGTATGTGTGCTGTCCTATGGGTGCTCCAATGTGCGTGCCTTGTATGTCTGCTGCTCTCTCATGTGTGCTCTCAATCCTGTGTTTTCGTGTTTGCGCGTGTGTATTTGTGGCTTCACGCGTGTTCTCGTCTCTGTATGTGCTGTCTAGTTGGGCTTTTTGCTGGGACGCCTGAGTTTCTTCAGATTGTTGTTGTTGTTTTGTAGCGGTGCTTTCACTGGCACCTACACTCAACGCCACCAATCAAGATGCCGCTGCCAGAAGGCAAGACAGTTGAAGGGGCCGCAGTGCCACTAGACATAGAGGCTGCCACAGATGGGGTGGTTCGACCTGTCATAGATTGGTCGTGAGGAGAAGCAACTTGAGACAGTCCGAAGGCTTGTGCCATTTGGAATTCATGCGTTTGCAGGAGCGGTGAATGCAAATTCCAAACACCTTGTGTCCGCGTTGTATGGCAGGTTTACTCACGGGAAAACACTTGGTTTGGAGTGGAGTTTGTGAGATGCTATCGAATGGTGCTATATTTGTTCCGGCAAAGCCGACTAAAACAAAAAGGTTGGAATATGGAATCGTTCGGCTTTGAACCCAGCTTAGATTTGCAGGTCTGTATC